CCCCGGCGCCTCCCGCCCCAGCCGCTCCTGGGCAGTGCAGGCTCGTGAATTCGTTTGCCAGGCAGTCCAAGGACAGAGACCAGCCTTTGCAATCGGAGCGAAGAGTCGCCAAGCCCTTCCGCCGAAACCACCCTGGTTTAGATAAGCGGCCGAGATACCAGCTCCAGAGAGAGATTGTAGGGGACTAGAGACGGTGGACTCAGAGCTCTTACCTACACAATCCAAATAGAAACCGTCTCAGTTCTAACCCTAGCAGAGAGCCATGTGCCGGAGACCTTTCCTGCCAGCAAAATAACCCCTCCCCCTGACAAGGGAGAGCGTCTCCCCCCGACAAAGCGCTGTCCACCCCGCCGCTTTGATCCGTCAACCCTTTGTCCGTCGGGGGGTGTTTCTTCCCCCACAGACCTGATGGACAAAAGTGCAGAGTAGACGAAGCCGGAGCAACACTGGAATCTCATAACAGCCTGGGACCAGGGTCCCCGGCCTGCAGACGATCTCCCAGGGGTTGAGATGGGGTGGGGGGGAGGGTCTCTGTCCCTTTTTTATACTTTCTTCTGGCTGCTAGAAGGATCCTTGCTGGGCCATGGTCAGGTTGACTCCACTGCTCCTCCTTGCCGCATGGGACAATCTTCAGACACTCGAGAGCCAGGGCATGCCTGCTCGGGCACATCAGACCGGAGTCCCAAAATCCCCTTCTCCAGGGCTGTCCCTGGGGGGTACGGGACCCAGGGCAACACCTTCCCCGTGCAGACACCACCCCTGCCCCACACCCTGCAGGGCGGGAGCTTAGGCGGTGCTGGGCTGCAGGGAGCGGTGGAACAGCAGGGGGCGCTGGGCTGCAGGGGGCAGGGCAGTGGCTCAGCAGGGGGCGCTGTGGGGCACGGAGTGGCGTAGGGGTCCAGCAGGGGGCGCTGGGCTGCAGGGGGCAGGGCAGTGGCTCAGCAGGGGGCGCTGTGGGGCACGGAGTGGCGTAGGGGTCCAGCAGGGGGCGCTGGGTAGGGTTGCCAGGTGTCCGGTATTCTAACAGACCGTCGGGTTTTTGCGCCCTCTGTCCAGTAAAAACATTCTGAAAATACCGGTCGGTATTTTTGGGGAGACCATCTGGCAACCGTAGCGCTGGGCTGCAGGGGGCAGGGCAGAGGGGGACTTGACCCCGCTCCTCTATTGCTGTCTCCCAGGCTGGCCAAGTCGACGCTGACGCTCATCCCACTGCTGGGCATCCACGAGGTGGTGTTTGCCCTGGTGCCGGAGGAGCAGGCCCAGGGCACGCTGCGCTACATCAAGCTCTTCTTTGAGCTCTTCCTCAGCTCCTTGCAGGTGGGCAGCGGAGCCGGGCCCCCAGGGCTGGCAGGGCGGGAGCTGCGGCAGGGCCCACCCTGCCCCGAGGACACGGGACAAAGGGATCGCCCTACACGGGGGCTGCATTTGAGTTCTGGGGCCTCTCAGGTCGGACATAGGCATGACCCTAGCACCTCCCCAGCTATGTGGGGCACTGTCAGGCCAGCCCCCCCCCAGTCCCTTACTCCCAGGGGCCCATGGGACGCAGCTGTGGGGCTGCCAGCTTTGCAGAGAGCCAGCGAAGAGCAGCCCCACACCCAGCCTGTGGTTGGACGGGGGAGTGGTGGGGTCCCTGGGCACAGGCACTCCTCAAAGGGAGCCTCCCCCTCCTCTCCACCCCGGGGTATTCCCAGGCAGGGCCCCTCCTGTGCCGACGCCCCCTGGTGCATCCCGAGGAGCTGGGCCCAGCCCTGCCTTATCTGCTCTTGTCTTGCAGGGTCTCCTGGTGAGCATCCTCTACTGCTTTTTGAATAAGGAGGTAGGTTCCCCTCACTCTGGGGCAGGGCTGGCTGGCCTACTTCTGAGTCCCATTAACCCCTCCCGCACCACCGTGCTGGCTCCCCGGTGAACGGCTGGGGGCCCATCCCAGACGCCAGCGAGAGAGAGAGAGCCCAGCCCATGAGAGCCGGCAGGGGGCAGAGGCGAGGTGTCGCTCCTAACCTACTGCAGGGGGGCAGGGGAGGGGCTGATCCCTTGGCAGGGCTGAAGTGGCTCTTTCTGGGCTGGGTCCTCCACTGGGGTAAATCAGCTGAATTCTGATGAACTTCAAGGGAGCTCTGCTCATTGACCCCAGCTGGGATGTGAGCCCATTGGCCTACAGCCCATTCACATGGGCTGGGATCTGGCCCATTGACTCCCATGAACCCATTGACCCCAGCCGGGGTCTCACCATTGATCCCAGTGGAGCTACGGCCCATTGACCCCAGCCGGGGTCTCGCCCATTGATCCCAGTGGAGCTACGGCCCATTGACCCCAGCCGGGGTCTCGCCCATTGATCCCAGTGGAGCTACGGCCCATTGACCCCAGCCGGGGTCTCGCCCATTGATCCCAGTGGAGCTACGGCCCATTGACCCCAGCCGGGGTCTCGCCCATTGATCCCAGTGGAGCTACGGCCCATTGACCCCAGCCGGGGTCTCGCCCATTGATCCCAGTGGAGCTACGGCCCATTGACCCCAGCCGGGGTCTCGCCCATTGATCCCAGTGGAGCTACGGCCCATTGACCCCAGCCGGGGTCTCGCCCATTGATCCCAGTGGAGCTACGGCCCATTGACCCCAGCCGGGGTCTCGCCCATTGATCCCAGTGGAGCTACGGCCCATTGACCCCAGCCGGGGTCTCGCCCATTGATCCCAGTGGAGCTACGGCCCATTGACCCCAGCCGGGGTCTCGCCCATTGATCCCAGTGGAGCTACGGCCCATTGACCCCAGCCGGGGTCTCGCCCATTGATCCCAGTGGAGCTACGGCCCATTGACCCCAGCCGGGGTCTCGCCCATTGATCCCAGTGGAGCTACGGCCCATTGACCCCAGCCGGGGTCTCGCCCATTGATCCCAGTGGAGCTACGGCCCATTGACCCCAGCTGGGGTCTCGCCCATTGATCCCAGTGGAGCTACGGCCCATTGACCCCAGCTGGGGTCTCGCCCATTGATCCCAGTGGAGCTACGGCCCATTGACCCCAGCTGGGGTCTCGCCCATTGATCCCAGTGGAGCTACGGCCCATTGACCCCAGCTGGGGTCTCGCCCATTGATCCCAGTGGAGCTACGGCCCATTGACCCCAGCTGGGGTCTCGCCCATTGATCCCAGTGGAGCTACGGCCCATTGACCCCAGCTGGGGTCTCGCCCATTGATCCCAGTGGAGCTACGGCCCATTGACCCCAGCTGGGGTCTCGCCCATTGATCCCAGTGGAGCTACGGCCCATTGACCCCAGCTGGGGTCTCGCCCATTGATCCCAGTGGAGCTACGGCCCATTGACCCCAGCTGGGGTCTCGCCCATTGATCCCAGTGGAGCTACGGCCCATTGACCCCAGCTGGGGTCTCGCCCATTGATCCCAGTGGAGCTACGGCCCATTGACCCCAGCTGGGGTCTCGCCCATTGATCCCAGTGGAGCTACGGCCCATTGACCCCAGCCGGGCTCTTGTCCATTGATCCTAGTGCAGCTACAGCGAACAATTTTCTGGGCATCCTGCTCTCTCTGCTCCTCTCCGTGCACAAGACCCAATGGGATGGCAATACCTCACCCTCATTCACCCCACACTGGGCTGCGTGACCCCTCCTTGCCCTGCTGTGGCCTCCTGCTGCCCCCCCCCCATGAACCAGGGTCTCCTCCCTCCTGGGCATCACTTAACATCCCCCCCCCCCACTTTGCTCTGCTCTGCTCCAGGTCCAGTCTGAGATCGGGAGGAAGTGGCAGCGGTTCCAGCTGGGCATGCTGGAGAAGCACCGGCCGAGTTGCAGCCGCGGGTCGTCCTGCCACTGCCAACTCTGCAAACCCCCCCAGGGCAGCTGCCCCCGGCCCCCCAGCCACCTGGGGAAGGGGGGGGCCGAGGCGGACTCGAACTCCAGCTGGGAGAACTCCTTGGGCAGCTCCCAGCGGCTGCGTTGCCCCCCCACAGGCAGCAAATCCTATGGCTCCCTCCCCGTCCCGACGCAGCCAGAGGGCAAAGAGCTGCTCCCCAAGGCCAGGGGGCCTACGGGCAAGGTGGCAGAGAGCTGCTGTTGAGATCAGCCGGGGAGCCGGGAGAGGGGAGCCGGGTGGGGGACTCTGACTGGCATTCCCTGTCTTGGGCGAGGGAGGCTGTTGCTGCACCGCTAGAGTGGGGGGGCTTGGGGGCTGGGGCACGGCCCAGAGGGTCTGCAGGACCAGTGTCCCCGCTCAGCCTGGTAGCCTCTCGGCAGGGGGCAGTTCCCCCGGGTGCGCCCATGGACAAATGGTGTGGGCACGAATGAGTCCACTGTGGTCCCCAGATGCACGTCTCCTTGGGCCTGAGGGGGACGCCTCTGGCCCCCTGGGATTCCACTGCCCTGTTGGGGCCTCCCTGGCTACTGTAGAGCCGGCATAAGGGCCCTGAGCTCCACCCGAAGTGTAGCAGTGGCTCGGGGCCAGCCCAGAGTTCGCTGCTCCCTCTGTGGCTATTCTCTGCCCCCAGGGACTATAGGAGGGCAGCGAGAGGGTGGGGCTGGAATCCACTGGCCTCTAGGTATTGCGCCCTTGGTTAGAAGATGGAACAGCAGTTAGGTTGCCCTGAGGTCCCCTAACAGAGAATAGGGGCCAGGCAGGGCCTAGTAAGCCCCTCAGAGCTTAAATTCATCTCCAGCCAGTCTCGCCTCAAGTGCTGAGCTGGGGAACCGGGCCTCTGAGGCGCGGCCACCTCTTTGGAACCGTCTGCGGCTCTTGGCCTCGGCGACGTCCTGCAGCAGCAGGTTCCACAGGTTAACTGTATGTGGTATTAAAAAAGCATTGACTTTTGTGGTATGTGTTCCCTTAGCATGTGAGGGGGCTGGAACCTACAAAGCCACAGGGCGTTGCCTGCAACTGTACAGGGCTTATAGAGGTGAGTGAGAGGGGAACCTGCGTCCCCCAACCAAAGCTAACACGAGTGCAGGGGGCCAGCTACCAGTTTAGCCCAGGATCCTGCCGGACTGGGACAATTGGCTTTTCACACCTGGTGTTCCACCTCCAGCTCTAGCACAAGCATGTGAAGAACCCACATGTGCCTCGCCCCCTCCCACATTGCTCTACCCTACACCAGAGCCTCAGGCAGAGGGTGGAGGGAGTGGAAGAGCCTCCAGAAATTGCTCCTGCGCCCCACCCTCGCCTTTTAAAGAAATAAAATAAAACAGCAGCTCATTGCTACAGCAGCAAAACTGCATTAACAAGGCAGGCCGCTGCGTTCTAGCTCGCCCACGAGGCAGGGGCTGCACGCCTGCATCAGGGTGGGCCCTGCAGGCGTTAACTCCGTGGCTGGGCAGAGGGAGAGTACAAGGCCTGCTTCTGGCAGGTGGACGGCTCCTCGCTTAGCCCCAGTGGCAGCGCCTGGGGCTAAGAGAAGGTGAGATCTAGTCCTGCTCTCCAGGGCTATGTCTACACTCGCGGCTTCTTGCGCAAGAATCCGCAGCGCGTCCACACTGCCATGGATGCTCTTGCGCAAAAGCACATCTCCCACATGGCAGTGCTGACGTTTTCTTGAGCAAGAGTTCTTGCACAAGAACCCTGGCGCAAGAAGCCGCCAGTGTAGACATAGCCCAGATGTGGTTCACAGCTGGGCTATGTCTACACTCGCGGCTTCTTGCGCAAGAATCCGCAGCGCGTCCACACTGCCATGGATGCTCTTGCGCAAAAGCACATCTCCCACATGGCAGTGCTGACGTTTTCTTGAGCAAGAGTTCTTGCACAAGAACCCTGGCGCAAGAAGCCGCCAGTGTAGACATAGCCCAGATGTGGTTCACAGCTGGGCTATGTCTACACTCGCTGCTTCTTGCGCCAGAAATATGCAAATGAGGCTCATTTGCATACCTAATGAGCCACCAATTTTGCAGAAGAGGCTCTCGCGCCAGAAGGATCTATCTACACTGCCCCTTCTTGCGCAACAAAAACCCTCTTGCGCAATGCAGCTATGCTGATTATTTTCAGACATAACGGGCTTTTCTTGCGCAAGAAGGGGCAGCGTAGAGCGCTCCTTCTGGCGCAAGAGCCTCTTCTGCAAAAATGGCAGCTCATTAGGTATGGAAATAAGGCTCGGCGATATTCCACGCTTAGCCTCGTTTGCATATTTCTGCTGCAAGAAGCCGTGAGTGTAGACATAGCCCTGTAGTGCCCAGACTCCCAGCCTTGGCTCATGGGTGTCCCCATGATAGGACAATTTGCCCTGGGATGTGAGATATGCCCCACCATGATGCCCCCCACCCCAGAAAGCCAAGTGCAAGGATGTGGTGGCTAGGAGAGTGTCAGAAACTACAGCTCCCAGCATGCCTCTGCTCAGGCCAGAGACTACAGCTCCCAGCATGCCCCGGGTTGGATCAGCGACTACAACCCCCAGCATGCCCCCTGGCCGGGCCAGAGACTACAGCTCCCAGCATGCATTACTGCTCCCATTATGCCCCTGGCTGTGCCAGAGACTACACTTCCCAGCATGCCCCTGGCTGGCTCAGAGACCACAGCTCCCAGCATGCCCCAGGCCTGGCCAGAGACTACAGCTCCCAGGATGCAATGCGAGGGCGCGGCGGGCGGCCGGCGCGGACCCCGGCTGCGCCTGCGCAATGCAACCCGGAAGTGTTGGGAGGAGGAGC